TCCTCACCCGTGTATGTAACTCTATTTATTAAACATCTCACTTTCGGAATGTATTCTAGGCATCTAATTGAATTATAATAGTAACTTGCAATTACGAATTTAATTTATATTCTTTACATAACGAACGTTTATTAATAAATAAACTACATTTTCATTGTCGAATAAAGTGAAATATTCTGTAATTCCAATTTGTAAATAATAAGAAAATAGTAAATCAATTGTTTCAGAAGTTATTTCAGAATATAAATATATTTAAATATACGCGGAAACGATTCACACACGACGTGTTAAATAAGTTGTACGGTTCGTGTTTGAAATAAAAGATAACGATAAGTTCTATACTCTATATATGTATTCGATCTCTGAAACAAACTATTGTAATTGTAAGAAATGAGAGAAATCGCGGTAAGATCCCTGAGATTTTAGCTTGAACAGTTGCGGTCGCTAATTGTAGCTTCGAGATAACAATGGGAATGTCAAAGGATTATTACAAATGTGTACATATATTTTTCTTGACTGCTTCAACGATTTAAACGACTAAGTTACTTCTTTTTATCGATTCCAGTTGCATCTCCGCCGGATCGCAGAGTTACGAAAGATGATATCGCAGTGTCCTCGCCCGGTGCATCTCCGAACGTTAACGCCACTACGAGCTGCACTGGTACAGCATCCCCTCGATCGCACAATCCCTCCTCGCCTGGTCGCAATGGCCAACTACCAAGTACGTATAATATGTATTAACCGTGGAATTCAACGGATAAGTCTGTGGCTGTAAAAAAAAGTTGTCGCACGTACATAACGATTTCTTTTTGTTTTTTCAAAAAATGTTAGTTTATGCATTAATCGAGCCGCAGAGTATAGAATTTACGTACTATAAAATTATGAAACGCGAAGGAAAAACTATGCATAGCAATGCGCACTTATATCTTAGAAATCTGTTACGCTCAAACTTGGACGACCCATCCCCTTTTTCTTCTATTAGCGACTGTGCCGAGCTCGGGTAGCGGTAACGTTTCCTTATCTCTCGGTAGACAATGGCATTGCATAAAACCAACTTACATATGTATGTACATAGAACGAACACGTAACAGACGCGTACCACAAAGGGGTGCCGCTAGTGTAAAAAATAATCACGCAAGAATATTTTGATGGCTGCGAAGAAAACGTTCCGACATCGCGTCGATGAAGTTTGAAAAGTTTATTAATCTCACGCGTTATCAAGATTGTGCAGCGATGAGAAATTTTCTTGTTTCCGTGTTAAATAGGGCGCCAGTTTAACGTTCTCTCTTGTTTGCGTTGCAGAACAAGGCACGCTAACGATAGTACGCCGAAGTTCTGGCAAGAATAAAAATATCGGCGGAAGTTTCGAAGGATCTCCGCCACCGCTCAGCCCTGACACTCTTTCGTCCAGCCAGTCCGTCGATCTCGATGAGATTCTTGATAATGTCGATTTAACGACAGACACGCTTCCTGCCGTTGACACCCCCGATGCTTGCGACAAAGCTGCCCTCAGGTACAATCACGACGATTTATTTTCAAATCAAGCGGATATTTTAATATGAAAATTTAGACAAGTCAATATTATCTGCTACTCTTTATCATATTTGTTCCCAAATCTCGCGCATCGTTCGAGTCGGTTTGTCTCGAAAGTAGATCTTTGTTGTCGACACATTAACCGTCGAATAATTAAAGAAAGTTAATCGATTGATTGTAAAAATTCCGTATGAAATTTCATTCATTCATTCATTCATTCAAGTATCAAAACCGAAGCTAGAAAGTGAAAATTGATCATAGGGAAAATTCATTTCATATTCAATTTCATATTAGAAAAATTCTAGTCTATTAGAAAAAAAGAAATTCAGTTACTTGGAGTCGTTTCTATCGCAGATTGAGGTGCTTACTGAGGCAGCTTCAACACGGTGAAATATCAGCAGAATTACTTCAACGAAACTTACACTATGCAGCACGCGTGCTCGAAGCTGTCTTTCTCGATGAAACCAAGTAAGTTTTTCCCGAAATATAAATTACCATAAATGTTTAGTTTATTAAATAACATTTCTATATTATAGTCATTCACAGAGAGCCGATAACCGCTTCTCTAGGATATGCAATATCGATTATCCATTATATTGTAAAAATGATTACACTCAATGGTTTGTGACCACTATCTCTAGACACGGTTAAATCAAAGATTTCCAACAAATAATACACACGTTACGATCTGTGAAAGTAACATAATTATTATAAATATTGTTATAATTTTTCTTGTTAATTAAGTAATACTAATATGTTACTAACGGTAATTTTGTACAAGGCTCACGACTCTTGGAAACACGAACGGATACCACAAGATTCGAATTATATTTTATATTTTGTGAAAATGTTTTTACGATACAATTGTTGTACGAAACGTTCGCAATTAATTAATTTCCAAGAAGCATTACGAAGTTGATCTCTGGATTTATTATGACCTCCAATTCGAACCGTACGTATCTCAAGAGCGCCTCTTTAGCTCAGTGGTAGAGCACTGGTCTCGTAAACCAGGGGTCGTGAGTTCAATCCTCACAGGAGGCAATTGAGTTTTTTTCTTCATTTTTTTTCTTTTTTATTTCGAATACATTTCTATTTTGTAAATGTGGTATGTGCCTCGGGGAATTACGAACGTCTGAAATTCCTTGTACAATTATTTAATATAAATATAAAAAAATATAAAAAAATATAAAAAGATATAATCGTCGTTCGACGCAACTTAATGCTAGGCGCGTGCACATCGCGGTTCCTGAAGATCTTTTTTCAAATAAATAATTATTTAATTTTCCGACGGAGTGAAATTATCTTATCTGGTAAATCGTGTGTTTCGTCAAAGTTATATTTTTTCAAACGATAAGACGACAGATCGCGGTACATATATACTTCGTTCACAGATTTCGTTCAAAATTCTCTCGCAAGCTGTCCCAATTTGTTCGTTAAGATCGACAAAGCGAGAGCGAACCGAAGCGAATCAACGAGAAACCACCGTGTATGCCCAGAACATTTCGATAGATTCGACATAAACGCAATTACTTTCACATTTTCTACGAAGCGGGTGTCGTTCGCGGTATTTCATAATCGTAACGAGCAACATAATTCTAAAATTGTTTAAACTTGTTGAATAACTAACATGTACCAATTCTTCAGAGCCACGATCAACTGCCACCACGATAGCAACAGATATCGCGTACATATCTATTACACACATATATATATATATATTTTAAGCGACTTCTACGCACGTGACGTACCTTTGGCTACAATTTATTCAGACTTTTCAGGAAAATTCCGGAAGCGTGTCCACTCGAACACGATTACAGAGTATCTAAAGCGATTTATTTAAGCTGTCTCTAGGTGTAAACGACATTTTCCAGTGCGAAACGTGCTAAGACTCTTAATTTCTTAAGTTAAGTTGATTTACCCGAGACACAGGGTTGAAGCAGACTCGAGACCGAGAGACCAGTCGGCCGAAATATCGAATTTCTATGTTGACACGATAATGCTTAATGATAATGATAAGGAAAACTGTAATGATCTACTGTTCTGTTCTCTACTTGACACGTGCACTAACAAGCAGTACCACAGGGTGAATTCAGGCGGGGTTGAGTGCTCTCGGTCATCGCGTAGGGATGCGGGCCTGTCATCTGCATCCCTTGGAAGCGCCTTGGACTCGGACGGACCACAGGGCCATGCGGTGGTAACCCAGAAACGGAAGCTTCGCACCCCCGTATGGGCAAGGTTGCGAAATATTCATATTTCCGACCTTACGCGCGACTGTTCTCGTTCTCACCCAACGATCAGATTTATCCGAACCCAACATCTGCTCCGATCCAAGTACACGTCGTCCCTTGTTCGATACATCTTTACCGCGATCATCGTCTGGCTAGGCTCACGATCATGCGTCGTTTGCTCAATCATTATTATCGGGGAATCGAACTTTCTTCTGGTCGACGAACTAGTCAACGTTCGCCCGGAGCTCGGAACGAATCGACGACGGTCAGGGTTCAATTTCAAGCATACAGTTCGTTCGACCAACCACATTCCACATTGATAACGAGACGTGAAAAATGTTGGGAGGTGGCGGGGGGAGGAGAGCGAAAATCTGTCACCAAGGCTAGTTTTATGCAGATTTTCCATTAAAAATTCATTCTTTTGCAAATTATGTATTAGCGATTCTTTTTCAAATTAAACCGACCCTTTTGTAGATCGTAGCCATCTATTTTAAAACCAAATTACCCCCTTTTCGAATCAACTTGACCCTTTTCTAAACGAAATCCACCTATCTTGAAAACAAGTCCAAACTTTGTTTAGAGGTCGATTCAAAAAGCGAGTCGATATTTTGACAAAATTAAGATTCTCTTCCGCGCTCTAAATATAAGCACACGCTTTTCCATTCTTCTGTATCTAGATATAAAATATTAGAAATTGATTGTTTCAAGATTATCGTTTATCAATTATTTGTTGTTTTCGCGCCACTTGTTACAAAGTGTTCATTATCTTGGCACGATGTTCGCCTAACAGAATAATTAAACGATCGATCTAAACGGATGGGTATTGCACGAATATCGGAGATATATTTTTAACAACTCGTTAATAGCGCGAACATGGCAACTGTTAAATGGATCGAAATGTATCGTAATAATATAGAAAACTGTAACGGAACCAATAATTTTCGTGATAAACGTGATTTTCACTGCGAAACAACGAAAACGACGTTTTCGCTCTCCCAACGTAAATGCCAACTGCAGATTCAAATTCGTCGTAACGTTGCAATACGTTTTCTTCTTGTCAATATCCTAGTTTTAGCGTTCTACCATGCGTAGCGTAGACCTTATGCACAGGAATTAATACGTCATGTAGTACAACACGCTGTATGTATGTATATCGCGATCGTTAGCAAGCTCTACGTATACATATATGTATAGAGTAACTTCGAGACTTTTGCCTTTCCCAGTAATTTGCACACGATTATAGTGCACGATCATTACCAATATAACAATATGTAACTCCAAGACTACAGGCAAGAGCGTGTACAGTGACATTAACAACCACCATGATCGCAAACTATGATAATCGGAAAACAAAGACGAGAGTAATACTACAGATATTTACCAGTGTCATTCTATGCGCGTAACGTAATACTTGAGACGTGTACCACGTACGTTAACAGCTTAAGATTCTAACGTTAAATCGCATCGAACGACAATATACATATAATTTACAGAAGGAAGCGAACAAATAATACAGAATTATATAATCCGCGATCCGAATTGAAATATACCGGGGGAAAAAAAGCGCAACGCGCATGCGTATCGTACATATAATACAAAAGACAATCGAAAAGGGTCTACCGTTAGCCGAACACATCCAGACACAGCATGCCGACTATCTTGACCTGCCTGGCCTGTCTCTCTCTTTCTCTCTCTCTCTCTCTCTCTCTCTCTCTCTCTCTCTCTCTCTCTCTCTCT